CCCCCCCCCCCTACTCTTTTAAACCAGCCTTCACTACAAGAAGAACGGTCAAACTTCTTTACTTTTCCGATTTTGTTTCCTTGTAAAACTATATAGGACTAAATTTTACTTGGGTAATCGGTATCTACAATCTATAATTCACAATTATATTTTTTAATATCAGTATCTCGATATTTTTGTTTGGTGATAATTCTGGGTAGATATAGGAATTACAATGAGTTTGTTGTCTATTATTAGGCACTTTACCGACAAAAATCGAATTTATATTCATGAGCTTTGATTATACAGGGTGAATCATTTAACAATGTCCTGTAAGCATACATTTATCACCTTTTCTTTACTTATTTTTTCTCCACCCTGTATCAAATATTTTCATATACAGGGAGTTAACGACTGCTGGAAGAGATAAAAGTTAGTAATTGATTTTTTTAAATTCAGGTTTTTTACAGAATTGGATATTTTCAGAAAAATGTCGATTCTTCTTCCAGATCAAATATATCAACAGGAAGATAATGATTTCATTCAATCAATTAATCCTGAAATGGTTTTAGTTATAAAGATTTTAGAGGTTCAAAGGGACAGGAAGCGTAGCTACAAGCAACGCTTCAAAAATTGCAATGCCTGATTCACAACGGTACCCTTGAAACAGCTTTATCTAATCAATAATGGGGACAGATATTTTTAGTGATTATTTCTGATAACTCCTTTCTGTTTCCTGCAGTAGAAATTGAAATTCGCAAACCACTTTTGTATAGAAACCAAAATTGAAAATAATCAGTTTACAAAATTATAAACATTGATGTCTAATTTACACTTAAGTAATCAAATCTTTTAAGGGTACCGTTGTGAATCAGTCCCAAGAGGCATTACCGGTGCTGTCGAATTTTTGCAAACACTGCCATTAAGTTATTTCTTTTATAAATGTAGATACTTTGCTTTTCGGTCTGTCTGCTTGTCTGTCCTTTTGTAATTTGTATCCAATAAACGTCTAAACGGCTGAACCGATCGGGGGCTAAATGTTGTGTGTCACCTCGAATGACCACAGGGAAGGTTTATTAAACATCAAAAACTGAAGAAAAAAAACCTGTAAAATAAAATTTTTTTTGAAAATGCGCCAATTCAAAAAGAAAAATCCGCCAAAATTTGAAAATGATTTAAAATGACCGACTTTCACAGCAACAGTTAAAAGTTAAAATTATTTGCATGAAAGTGAGCGCAAAGCACCCTAAAAGCCTAGTTTCTTAAATATCTCTTGGACCGGGGATATTCCGTATCAATCCTTCGAATCAAAAGTTTATCGAGTTGAGTCTAGCTATGTCTATGTCTATGTTTTGTGTCTGTTCAATTGTTTTTTGTTATTTCAAATCCAGATTAAAATGAAAAACTGTCTAATCGATGACTATTTGTATTTAATGGCCACAGTCAAATACTATCTGAATTTGTCTAATTAAAAAGATTTATTACATCCTTTGTTTTTAAATCAATTACATTACAGAATTTAGTTTGTCAAACAGATATAATCAGAACTTTAATAAATGTTTAAAGAGAGACTAAATATTTATTTTAAAAGTATAAAATCTAAAAAGAAATTTATTTCTTTCAAAGAGCCGAATAGTTCAAAGTTAAACATTTTTTGTCTAAAATTCCATGTCCGACTTTTATTGATATATCTAATCAATGATTGGATTTAATAGATCTTTATTTTTTTATTATTACTTTTTAAACTTTAAAAAATCGGTTATAAAAGAGAAAGTACGTTTTCGATGAAGTTTTTGTTTTTAAAATTTCTATCATCNCCCCCCCCGGCCCCGTCTCTTCTAATTATGCACCTTAAAAACGTCATACCTAATTAGATGTTTTATAATGATCCTTTTCCACGTTCATATCATTTTATAGCCATGAATAATTGGAAGCAAAGATAAAAAACATGAATAAAAACTGAATGAAGAATTTTAAATAATTAAAATTGAAACCAAGACAAGGGTAAAAAAGAATTTTAAAATTTAGATTTTATCTTTTTCTGTTTTATGAATGATACAATCTTATTCAGGAGTATAAAGTAGAAGTACAGAAAGACGAGAAAAGAAATATTACAAAAAATAAACAAATCATTTTTAATCAACAAACAAAAAATAAAATACTTCAAGTGAAGAAGACGACTTACCTGGAAATCCAGATTTTGAGCGGGAAATTCAAATACTTTTCAGGTTTGGAGAATTTCTATTTTGATCTAATGTATTATAAAAACCACCTGTTCTACTTTAAACCATAAACAGAGCGGATAAAATATTACAGAGTTTATCGTTAGTCGTGATTATTTTATTAATTTTTTTAATGTTTAATAAGATAAGGAAAGAGTGGGCCACCGGATTCAAATTTGGTTACATTTTCTGTCAAGTATTTTACCTTTTAATCAATAAATAAAAAACAACATAAAAAAAAGATTGATTGTCAAAAAAATTGAAAAAAACGGATGAAACGTTTTTTGACAATTAATAGTTCATTTAATATTTCATTGCAGTATCTCGTGTATAATTTATATGTAAAAAAGGAAAACTTTGTGAATTTTGTATTTTGTAATTGTTTATACTCTGTGTACAGACATATTCAAAATAAATGGAGATGGAATATTTTAACTTATTTAATTGGATATTCATTTTTAGTTTTCATGAGATAAATAATCATCGCCCAAAAAATATTTTATTTAAAAAAACAAAAAGAAATGTAAATTGTTCACATAAGGTCAATATGTCTGCAGTTTCTATTTTCTAACCGGAAATCAGTAAAACAATAAAACTTGGATTTCAATTACAATTACAATAAGGAATTTTAAACAAGTTTAGTATTTTTTTCTTTAACAATATTTGTGATCAGTCAGTCGTTTCACCCTTTTCAGCTTTTATAAACATTATGGAAGTATCTGGCGTTGCCTGTGCTATTTCAAAAATTGTCTAATAATGGTTATCTAATGGATAATTCTTCTTGCCTATTTTAGCCATTGGGGAAAATGTTTTTTTTTTAAATTTTCGTTGCATTTAGCTCAGGCTCTAAGCTTTTCTGTTACACACGTATAAAATACAAGGTGTCCCAAGAAGGGTGATCAGGATTTTCAGAAAAATTAGGTCGACTTTAAAGGGAGTGTTTGCGAAAAATGAAAGCGGGTATAGGTTTACGGCAAAAAAAAAACAAGAATAATTGCTTTCAAAGGTAATTATCAGATCATACAAAATAAAAAAATATTATGAAATATCAACTATGTACGAATATGTCGAAAAATTATCGATGATTAATGTTGCAACATTCTAATTTTGTATGGACGCTAAGTTCTTCAGTATAAGTCGTTTTACACAATTTTCTCCTTATAGACACAACAGATAGAAGTAAGATTAGTAGTGATCAAAAGCGTTCATTTTTTGCCGTACGCCTATACCCCCTTCCTTTTTTTCGCGAACACTCTCTTTAAAGCTAATTAAGGATTAGCAGTGTTTGCTCCGTTAACACAAAGTTCTATTTAGGAATATTCGCCGTCAAAGTAAACGAATGCAACGAGTAAAGAAACCAATGTCTCTGAGTAAAGGTAAGAAATATGATAAAAATCCATGTCACATAATTATGGTGAGTAATTAGTCAGAAATAAGTTTAACGCAGTTAAGGTAGGAAATCAGGAAATCAATGAAATCTTTGCCTTCTTTNACCCCACCACATCAACTAATGAATCAAACATAATTATAACTGATAGTTATCCCACAATTAAATCCAACCAACCCAACATCTGATATGCCCGATATGTAACCGTTAATGACTCTCGCCTTAACAATATAATTAGTCGGTTTGAGTATTGCAAACTTCTGCCGCTAGATGTAGTAGTTTCTGCAATTTAACTGAAAGGAGGGACATCTATTAAAATATTTGGCATTTTTCACTTTGCAATATGAAGTTAGTTTAGTAAAAAAGGTTTTTAGGTATTTAGATATGTGGCTTGTAGACAGGTAGTAGGTAGATTGTATAGGAAGGTGTAAAGTAGGAAGGCTGATAAATGAAGATGTTTATTATTAGCTAGCTTAAGTATGCGAGGAAACATGAAGGTATAGGTAGGTAGGAAGGTAGGTAGGAAGGTAGGTAAGTAGGAGGTAGGTAGNGGTAGGTAAGGACTGTAGGTAAGTAGGAGGTAGGTAGGTAGGTAGGTAGGTAGGTAGGTAGATAGGTAGGTAGGCAGGTTGGTTGGTTGTTATGTAGGTAGGTTGTTAGCTAGTTAGGTAGGTAGGTAGGCAGGTTATAGGCATGTAGGTAGGTAGGTAGGTAGGTAAGTAGGTAGGTAGGTAGGTAGGTAGGTAGGTATGTAGGTAGGTAGGTAGGTATGTAGGTAGATAGATATGTAGGATGTAGGTAGGTATGTAGGTATGTAGGTAGGTATGTAGGTAGGTAAGTAGGTAAGTAAGTAAGTAAGTAGGTAGGTAGGTAGGGAAGGAGGTATGTAGGTAGTTAGGTAGGTAGGTAGGTATGGAGGTATGTAGTTTGGTAGGTAGACAGGTATGCAGTTAGGTAGCTAGGTAGGCAGCTAGGTAGGTAGGGAGGTATGTAGGTAGGTAGGTATGAGATATGAGTATTATGATAATAGGTTTGACCCTATCATATACCCGCCTAATCCATAATATTCTTAATGAATGTAACCAAGTTTATAGCGCACGCTAGAGTACTTGTATACATATATACAGGCTGTATGTCCGTACAATGTATGTTTGCTTGAATATCTTCGTTAAACAGATAACTCTTATTTCTCCACTGAAAAGAGGAAATTACAAAACATACATGCGTGCATACTTGCAGGGCCAACAGGTGGAAGGGACGTTACGTGGAATCTTAAAGGGAGTGCTCGCGAAAAATAAACGTTTTTGATCGCTACTAATCTTACTTCTATCTGTTGCGTCTTTGTAAGAAGAAAATTGTTAAAAGCGGCTCATGCTGAAGAACGTAGCGTCCTTACAACATTCGGAAAGTTACAACATTCAACTGGGATCGTAAAATAATCAATGCAATTCCAGACAATACTGATTTTTATATTCTTTTCTTAATATTTTTGACCAAAACTTCAAAAAGCCCAACTTAACTTGAGAAAATGAGAACTTAACAATTTCCACATTCCAGAACCTGTCCTATTCGGAAATGATTTTACAAGATTTGCCTATTCAAGAAATAATATTTTATTCTAGAAAAAATTACATTATTTTCTACAAATAATGTTTATCAAGATTTTGGAAAAATGAATTTTATAATTTCTCAATCTATGTTTGTATATGAGTAACGCAAAACTAAAATAAATTGCGCGTTCACAAAATGGTTCCCTGTAATGTTGCAAAAATGTATTCTTCTTGTGCTGTCTATAAGAATGCAAGTTGAAACAATGAACAATTATCTATAATTGTTTATAGATTATATAATTATTAGGGTTCAAAACATGGACGCTAGTAAAATTGCGAGTGTGTTTATATTTAAGGGTTAATGTGTTTGTGTTTGTCCGTGAGTATGTTTGTGTGTTTGTTTGCCGGTATTCACGTGAATTCTTGATGCACGCAACCTTAGTACTCAGTCGTATATAAACCTTTAGTACTCAAACACGAGTCAAGTTGTCTATAAACAGAAACCATAGATTTATCATCTAAACCATGGAATTTATCATCTAAACAATGAAGTTTATCATCCAATACACCATGGAGTTTATCATCTTAACCATAGAGTTTATTATCTAAACCATAGAGTTTATCATATAAACCCACGGAGTTTATCATCTAAACAATGGAGTTTATCATCCAATCCATCTAAAGCATGGATTTTATCATATATTTTATAAACCATGGAGTTTATTATCTAAACCATGGGGTTTACCATCTAAACAAGTTTATCATCTAAACCATGAAGTTTATCATCTAATCCATCTAAAGCATGGAGTTTATCATATAAACCACGGAGTTTATCATCTAAACCATGGAGTTTATCATCTAAACCATGGAGTTTATCATCTAAACCATGGAGTTTATCATCTAAACCATGAAGTTTATCATCTAAACCATGGAGTTTATCATCTAGACCATGGAGTTTATCATCTAAACCATAGAATTTATCATCTAAACCATAGAGTTTATCATTTAAACCATAGAATTTATCATCTAAACCATGGAGTTTATCATCTAAACCATGGAGTTTATCATNGTATCTACCTATCTAGTATCTACCTATCTAGTATCTACCTATCTAGTATCTACCTATCTAGTATCTACCTATCTAGTATCTACCTATCTAGTATCTACCTATCTAGTATCTACCTATCTAGTATCTACCTATCTAGTATCTACCTATCTAGTATCTACCTATCTAGTATCTACCTATCTAGTATCTACCTATCTAGTATCTACCTATCTAGTATCTACCTATCTAGTATCTACCTATCTAGTATCTACCTATCTAGTATCTACCTATCTAGTATCTACCTATCTAGTATCTACCTATCTAGTATCTACCTATCTAGTATCTACCTATCTAGTATCTACCTATCTAGTATCTACCTATCTAGTATCTACCTATCTAGTATCTACCTATCTAGTATCTACCTATCTAGTATCTACCTATCTAGTATCTACCTATCTAGTATCTACCTATCTAGTATCTACCTATCTAGTATCTACCTATCTAGTATTTACCTATCTAGTATCTACCTATCTCTGTATGAGTGTGAGTACCGAGTAGATATCCATGCATAATTGGTCCAATCTTAGTTTTTACTCTAGACCCCAAACCCTAGATTTCCTAGAAACTAGAAACCAGTGTCTAAGCCTGCACGAAATATTAACTGAAAATTTAAGAAAAATGTCACTTTGTCTGCGAAGCTCTAAACACGGACTCAGAGGAAGAACACGATTAAAAACCGATGACAGACCTTTTTCTAAATTCGATGGTATTTGTCAAATTTTCTTAATTAATAGTTGAATATATTATATATATGTATACAGTGAAAATTGGAAAAAAAATATTTCTGCCTTTGTTTGTCCTTTTACTTTAGACATGTCTCTAAGGGTTTTGTAATTTTCATCACTAAAAGAAAAAGATTGACGACGTTTTTTTACCATTTTTTTTGGTCCCACTGTACAAGAACCTAATCTTAATAAGACAATTATTTTGTTTTATTGTGAAGGAAAATAATAGGTTTAACAACAATATTATAAATATTTATCAAAAGTATTTAAAAAAACATTTTTTTATTTTCTATTCCTGATTCACCAGCCTGTAATCCCGTATCTCATCAGTAATGTGTGAGCTAAAGTTAGATTTTTATCTTAAAAAGTGTTTTATTATGAAGGTTTCTTCCATTGTCTCTTGCAAGCAAAAATACCCAAGTAATTTTAATAAAGAAACCAATTTTGTAGATTATTTAACTTTTATTTTGTTTTTATATTTCAGAAGGAGAAGGGGGATATTCGTTTGAGAATATTTACGATAGGGCTCTACTACCGTTAAACTCTCCTCCTTGTCATCCTTTTAAATATGGTAAATATATTTTCATATTTGTCTTTATTTCACACAGAGGGTAAAATAAGATATCTATAATAAAAAAGTTTAGGGAGTGGCATTGCCCCTTGCACCCCCAACAACTTCTTTAAGCTCAGCCCCGATTAAACAAACTATGCAAAAGTAAGTTTCCTTCGCAAGGTCTCCATGTGGGTTTTAAATTGAATAAAAGTTCTATTTAATAAAGAATAATTTAGGTGTTTTGAAAATCCGAAAAAACTTCGAAAATATTTATTGATTAGTTCAAAAATGTACGAGTATATGGAAAAACATATTATTTTTCGTCTTTTTTGCCAGATATAAATTTGCTGAATGCGGACAGTTCATACGTTTTTTCTTCCAGTAGAACGCATGTCACTTCAGTAAAGAACCCACAGTTGAAAAAAAATCTATTAAAAATTGATATGTAATTAATACTTCTCCAGACAAACGCGTTTAAGAGTACCGTTGTGAATCGGGAATTGCCATCTTTGAATGGAGGATCACTTAAAATATTACAATCCCTTACAGACCTATATACATATATATATATATATATGTAGTAAATGCCATTCTTTTAAAACTTCGTCCAGAACTGTATCAGTCCAGGTACAACCTGTCCGCTATAAAAGTCAAACAGGACACGTGATCCACATGACTACACTCCTGTGAAATATCAACTCCACTACCATTGGGCGCGATCTCATTAGCTATTGCTCTCAATACGTACACTAGCAATTAATTGATCAATGCCTCAAACTGGATACAATCAACTCGGCTACAATCCTATCAACGCCACAACCACTGGGTAGGGCTGGGCACTTTCCAACTTTTTCTAGCTGTTTCGTTAACAGTTAGTTCAACCAATAAAAAATAAAAATTTCAGTTAGCCATTGATTGTATAGGTAAGAATGGAACGCTTGTTCCGTTAACGGCATCTTCCGTTTTTATTTTAATTGTCGTTATTTAACTAGCCCTTAATGGTAAAGTTATTACAAATTAACGGCATTAACGGCGCAAAACACAAACAAAATTTTGGTAACAGTTAAAAAATTGTTAACGGCACAGCCATTAACGGTATATTAAAGTATTAACGGCGAAAAATTTTTGTTAATGGTTTATAAACACAGAAGACGACATTTAAAACATCAAAACACGTAAAATTTTTATATTTTTTTTTTATTTCATGCAATTTTAAAAAGAAAATATCAAAATTTACTGCTTTTAGTTTTTAGCTAACGTTTTTAACCGTTAATTTTTTTTCAAAAATGGTTAATTTTGCTAACGATTTAAAAATTACCGGTTTTTGCCGTTTGTTAACAAACTCTTCCGTTAATTTTCGAAAACCTCTGTTTTGTTGACGGAACATTGCTCAGCCCTACCAATGGGCGTGATCTTGTTAGCTTAAAATGCCACATAGGGACACAAGCATGGCTATCAAACACGCTATTACACGGCTACAATTCCGTAAACTATCAACGCCACTACCAATGGGCGCGATCTCTTTAGCTCTAAATGTCACACAGGGACCCAAGCATAGCTATCAAACAAGCTCTTACTCGATCTTTACCAAATACCAAGGTACAATCTCAGCCCATATGTTTTAACAAGTATGCGATTACTCTACACCATAATCAAAGCAGAGTTTCTATATTAACTAATGTATTTGAGGTTTATATCTTACAAGGTAAAGCTAATAGAGGTAATTACAATTCCTACGTTGTTATCTAAATCATATGATTAAGGCAATCACGTTACGTATTACAGAGCAGTTAGAATAGTTGCAATTTAAGATATACGTCATTATATACATCACATGATTAAGCTAATCATGCTGCGTATTCATTTGAAACACAGTTAAAATGAATAATGGTTTTCTTACGTAGAAGTTTACAAACATAGATATTCAATGATGTACAACGTACTGCAGGTTTACTGAATATGGTGTTACCCGATATTTATTACATATATATACATAAAATTGATTTATTAATTAAACAAAACAGAAAAATACATAGATAGTATACATAATATGTTTTTGTACAGTTTCGTGCCTGAATCTACAAATACATTCAACCAATATAGGTCTCAAGGTCATAAAGCTCTCTAATTTCTAATCTAAAATATATTTTTAATCCTAACTGTTTGGTTAATTAAGGGTCTGGGTGGGTCTAGGGTATGCGGAGTCTTTATGGGTTGTTATTAAACTAAATGATTTACCATGCTTCATATATATGTAGGTAGAGCACGCTTATCAGTAATAAAACATCACATTTTTCTGTTTATAAGCTTGATTTTAAAGATATCCTAAAAATCAAAAAAGTGTTCTATTAGTTTTTATTTAATTTCGACCAGTCTCAACCTTTCCTGGAGTGTATGTATTTTAGGCCCTGATCGGTTTCGTACTTTTGACGTTTATTCAACACCAACAGACAGACAAACTAACAGAAGCCAAAAATTCTTACACTGTAAGCCAGATTTTAATCATAAATCTTTATGAGTTCTTCAGAAGAGCAAAAAGTTTTCAATTTCTACTTTGCAGGAAAGTAGATTTAATTTTCACATAAATCAAATCTAGAGGCGTGCGAGGTTACAAAGTTGTACCTTTCACTATTCTACAGTTTAACCCAAAGCTTTGGAGATATCGAAAGAATTTATAAAATTTTGTCTTGGCAATTTTTAAATGTTTTTTTTCTATCATACCTGAATCTCAATAAGTTTTAAATAATAGCCATAAAACATGCGACAACAGTTTTAAAGAGCTCCATATCATTATTTAATTACACAAATTCTGCATCATTCCATTATCAGTAGGTTAAAAAACGATATTTTATAAATTCTTTATAAATAACCTGAGATATCTGGATTCTGGAACGTTCTTTATATAATGAACTTAATGAACAATGACAATTTGGTACAAGGCCTGTATAACAGGGAACTACGGAAATTTGGGACACTCTGTATACCAGGGGACTACGGAAATCTTGGACACCCTGTATACCAGGGGACTCATAGAAATGAATAAGTTTTACATAACTCACAGATAGACATATGTTCGTAGGGTTAGAAATTAAAATACACCTAACTTGGCATTAGAAAGTATCTTATTTGGGTTTTAATTTGTTCTTTTCTGAATAAAGAGGTCTTAAAATATTGTTTGTGTCTACATTTTCTTAAAATATTGTTTGTGTCTACATTTTTCTTAAAACATTGTTTGTGTCTACATTTTTCTTAAAATATTGTTTTTGTCTACATTTTTCTTAAAATATTGTTTGTGTCTACATGTTTCTTAAAATACTGTTTGTGTCTACATTTTTCTTAGAATATTGTTTGTGTCAACATTTTTCTTAAAATATTGTTTGTGTCTACATTTTTCTTAGAATAATGTTTGTGTCTACATTTTTCTTAAAATATTGTTTGTGACTACATTTTTCTTAAAATATTGTTTGTGTCTACATTTTTCTTAAAATATTGTTTGTGTCTACATTTTTCTTAGAATAATGTTTGTGTCTACATTTTTCATAAAATATTGTTTGTGACTACATTTTTCTTAAAATATTGTTTTTGTCTACATTTTTCTTAAAATATTGTTTGTGTTTACATTTTTTTTAAATATTGTTTGTGTCTACATTTTTCTTAGAATATTGTTTGTATCTACATTTTTCTTAGAATATTGTTTGTGTCTACATTTTTCTTAAAATATTGTTTGTGTCTACATTTTTTTAAAAATATTGTTTGTGTTTACATTTTTTTTAAATATTGTTTGTGTCTACATTTTCTTAGAATAATGTTTTTGTCTACATTTTTCTTAAAATATTGTTTGTGTCTACATTTTTCTTAGAATATTGTTTTTGTCTACATTTTTCTAAATTGATACATTCCAACATTCCAAGGAAGATACACCAGATCCAGAAATTAAAGAGAGTTATAATCGTTGAACGAAACTCCCAAGTTTTTTTGGGCCCTATGCAATATTACATATGCATTAATTATAGTTTAAGAAATCAGAAACAAAAAGAGAATGTAAAGAAACCACATGAAATAATATTTCTCTACACAAATATTGGTATTTACAAAACTGCCTGACCCTATTCATAAAAATCGGGTTTTAGATACTGGGTTTCATTACGATACTCTGTCTTAAGTTAATATTTGCACTTCTTTTACTTATAGGATCATAGTTTGGTAGATTATTTGGAAATAACGAAAATTCCTCAAGAAATATTTTCAAATAAGTGCTGGTAGGATAAGTTGATTGATTGATTATTTGGTTGTTTGATTGATTGATTGATTGATTGATTATAAAATTCAGATTCTCGACATTCAAAACATATTTATGCAAATTAGAAACAGAGGGTTTGTTGAAAAGTTTAGGGTCTAGACTATGTCGTTTCCGAGAAAAAAAAACCTGGAGTCTCCAATGGAAGTCTCTCATTTGATTGTAGAGGGGGACTCCGATAGAACTACAGGGTTATCTCACGAAACATGACAGTTTCTGAATAGTTTAGAATGTTTTCATCCATAATTTATTAAGTGCTTTGATACCAAAGACAATAACAAAAATATTATTTGGGAGTCATGTTATAGTAAAATTGATTTCAAAGTAAAATGTATTTAAAAAAAGATTTTTCTAACACAATAAACTACAAATAGCCTTTAATATCTTATACAATATAGAGAAGACGACATTCACAACTATTTGTCAACTGTCATGTTTCGTGGGACACGCTGTACTATGATGTGTTTTCCCAGATAAAAAACTCGAGGTCTCCAATGGGAGTCTTCGATTTTATTGTAGAGGGGGTCTCCGATAGAACTTCACGTCAAACTTAAGTAAACTGGACGAAAGATTAAAATCATAAATGTTTTTTATTATAACTCCTATTATTGAAGAACTACAATGTTTTGAATTGCTAATATGTATCCGAATAAATATGTATCTCTCTTATTTGTACGTAAAGTTAGAACCAGTGGAGCAACAAAGGCACAAGGTTGTACCA